TTCCACTTCTGCGGTGTGCCGAGGGTATGGAAGGCTGGCAGGTGGGAGTGTGGCGAGCGATCTGCTCGGCCCTGCAGAGATATCATATCGAATGTGACTTCTTGCCCCCGATCCCCGTGCCCCCCCCCCCCCACAGGCTGGCCGATTAGAAAGCACTGGACATCCTGGATGCACATCGGGGGGGCCATTAGCACGCGCCTCTGTCGAGGATAGGTGCCGCCCATGCTATACCCGTGGCTGGAAGCACGAGGGCGACGTGTGAGCCGCCTGGTTGTACCAGTGAGCAGGGTCACGACATCCTACTTCAATTCCAGTTGACACGACACCTTGTAAATTCTAGACGCTTCGCTTAATCCTTCCAGCCCGTCCAGAAACGGTGCGCAGGCGAGTCCGCAGCAGATATTGTTCGAACCCCCAGCGTGCGACCAACCACAAACGCGGACACAAGTGCAGACGCAGTCGCAGGGCGCAAGCGCAGCTGAAGGCACACGCGCACCCACTCTCATCCGCGCGTCAGCGCACACGCCGTGGACCCTCCCAGTGGCCTCAGAGCCACTTCTGGCGGGGGGAAGGCAGCCTGTTCCGCCAATCCCCTTCCCCTGCCAGGTCGTCTTGCCGAGCCAGAGCCTTGCCAAGACGGGTGTCCCGTCAGGCCTGGGGGTGGCGAGGCCGACAGAGTTGAGGAGCACGTAGTAGTAGGCGGAGGCTCTCCCTGCCCTCGTGGCCGCACCTCCCGCCGCATCGCGGGTCCACCTCGTGCCCTGCCTTCTCTGGCTCGTCCTACCCCCCTTCTGCCCGCCAGAGAGTCAAGAAGTTGAAATACGGTGGAGACCCATGCCAAGAAGCACCCTTCTTGCCTCCTGGGTGCCCCGGGCTTCTCGGGTCTCGGTGATTTTTGCGACGGAGAGCGAGACGCTCCCACACCAGAAACCGGTGGACTTCCTGGGCTTTCTCAGGGTCGGCTTTCCTGCGGCAGATTGCTTGTGGTTGGGCTCCTACTGTTAAGTCGGGCCTGTCCCTCTACAGGAGGAATATCCAGACATAGTCAATTACGCTACCGAGGAACCCCACATACTTAACTTAAATCTTGTGTGTTTGCTCAAGTTTATAATATATGCGCAATTCTGCGTTCTCAGCCCTCGTCGCGAATGTTCCCCTATGTGTCATCCAACGCCATATTGCTTGAACCCCCTCCCTCTTCCTAGCCTTCTATCCTCCGTCGAGGACAGATTCGAGCCAGCCAGCGGCCACGGTGAGGGACCACCCCCTGCGCACCCTCGATGGTGTCGAGAAAGTGCCACGCCTGCTATGCCCTGGACGACCGTCGTGCGTAGCGGCCGCGGTGAGGGACCACCCCCTGCGCAGCCTCTATTGTGTCGAGAAAATGCCGCGCCTGCTATGCCCTGGACGACCGTCGTGCATAGCAGCCGCGGTGAGGGACCACCCCCTGCGCACCCTCTATGACGTCGAGAAAGTGCCACGCCTGCTATTCCCTGGACGACCGTCGTGCATAGCGGCCGCGCTGAGGGACCACCCTCTGCGCACCTCCTGTGGTGCCGAGAAAGTGCCACTCCTGACACGATCTGCGAGCGTGTCACGGATAGAGGCCGCGCTGAGGGACCACCCTCTGCGCACCCCCTGTGGTGTCGAGAAAGTGCCACTCCTGCCAAGATCTGCGAGCGTGTCACGGATAGAGGCCGCGCTGAGGGGCCACCCTCTGCGCACCCCCTGTGGTGTCGAGCAAGTGCCACTCCTGCCACGATCTGCGAGCGTGTCACGGATAGAGGCCGCGCTGAGGGACCACCACCCTCTGCGCACCCCCTGTGGTGTCGAGAAAGTGCCACTCCTGCCACGATCTGCGAGCGTGTCACGGATCACGCGATAGAGGCCTGCGCGTGACGGGACACCACCCTCTGCGCACCCCCTGTGGCGTCGAGAAAGTGCCACGCCTGCCACGCCCTGCGAGCGTGTCACGGATAGAGGCCGCGCTGAGAGACCACCCTCTGCGCACCCCCATGTGGTGTCGAGAAAGTGCCACTCCTGACACGATCTGCGAGCGTGTCACGGATAGAGGCCGCACTGAGGGACCACCCTCTGCGCACCCCCATGTGGTGTCGAGAATGTGCCGCGCCTGCCACGCCCTGCGAGCGTGTCACGGATAGAGGCCCCGCTGAGGGACCACCCAGTGGTGTCGAGAAAGTGCCGCGCGCCGATGTCGAGAATGTGCCGCGCCTGCCACGCCCTGCGAGCGTGTCACGGATAGAGGCCCCGCTGAGGGACCACCCTCTGCGCCCCCCCAGTGGTGTCGAGAAAGTGCCGCGCCTGCCACGCCCTGCGAGCGTGTCACGGATAGCGGCCGCGCTCAGGGGCCACCCCCTGCGCACCCCCTGTGGTGTCGAGAAAGTGCCACGCCTGCTGTGCCTGGACGACTGTCGTGCATAGCGGCCGCGGTGAGAGACCACCCCCTGCGCACCCCCTATGGTGTCGAGGAAGTGCCACGCCTGCCACGCCCTGCGAGCGTGTCACGGATAGAGGCCCCGCTGAGGGACCACCCTTTGCGCCCCCCCAGCGGTGTCGAGAAAGGGCCGCGCCTGCCACGCCCTGCGAGCGTGTCACGGATAGAGGCCCCGCTGAGGGACCACCCTCTGCGCACCCCCTATGGTGTCGAGGAAGTGCCACGCCTGCTCGCCTGCCGCATGGCTTGCCGTGTGTATGTGTATGATGCGTGTGCGGCCATATCGGGACATATCTCACGTGTTGCCCAGTATGTCGTGCAGACGTCTTGGGTGTATGATGCAGTGAGCATGCGTCTTGTATGTGCGAATGTGTGCATGCGTGCGGCTGTGTGCGAGTGTGTGGGTGAGAAGGCGGGAGGTGTGTGGGACGCGGGTGCGGCGCGGCAGGGAAGAAAACCAGAACCCCACGACGAAGCATGTGGGGAAAAATGAATATTCTGGGGGCGATTTCTGGAGTTTTTGTTTGCTTTTGTTGGCGTAGGTTTTTGCGCATGTGTGACTCTTCGCCCAAGACCCGCCTGTTGGGGCACCTGCCCGACCTGACCGTACTGCCAGGACCGCCCTGGGCCCCGGTAGGGGCTCGTGCCTTTGGGCCGCCAGGGGCCCGAAGGTCCCAACAGTTTAGACGATTTAGGGCCCGAGCTTCGGGCCGCCAGCGGCCCAAGCTCAGGGCCGCTGGCGGCCCTTAAGCTCTCCCCCCCGGGGCCTGCACCCGGGGAGCTCCTCGGGGTGGCAGGCCCCGGGGGGGGACCCCCTCGTGGCCAGGGCTCCCCGAGGCCCCGCACGGCCAGCCCCTTCCCGGCTCTCGGCGCTCCTCGTTCGGCCGCGCCCTCTCTCGGCCGCTCGCGCTCCGTCCGCCCCCCTTTCGGCCGCGGCCACCCCCCGCTCCTCCTCCCGCTCCTCCTCTTCATCTTCATGGTGCTCCAACCTATACCCTTAGGCTGGATCACCAGAAAGAATGTTTCGAGCGACAGGAAAAAGTGCCCCAGCACTCGAGGGTTTCCACGTGTCGGGCCCTGGGAGACACTCGTCCGACATTGGTTCGACACGATTTCGACACTCTTTGGACTCTTTTCCGAGTGCTCGAAATTATGTCTGGGATGTCGTAGACGCGCTAACGTTGTGTTAGCGAACGGCGAAGTAGGAGATCCAATTGTAGGAAGGCGTGGTTCGTGGCTGAACCAATTTGTAGGAACGCGCGGTTCGCGTCTTCCTACAATTCTCTGTGTCGTTTTCGTTAGATGCATTCGCATTTCTGAAACGTAGGCAACGGTGTTTCGTGATTTCCTACATTTTGTTCTGCGTCGGTGTCGCAAAAACCATATTCTCAACCGCACCGTTAACCAAGCACGCCGTTGGCGCGGCCTTGGTCCTCTTGCATTGGTGGCACAAGTCGCTCTGACGGCATCCCCGTTTAGGCGTGATCCATCGCCAACGGAGACAGACATCCCCTGCCCAGCCGCCGACGCAAAACAAGTTCCGCGCTTCCCCTGGTCGGACGATGGCTGCATGCCGATCCTGCCCAGAGCAAGCGACGGATAAAACAAAAAGACTCTTGCGCGCCCGGAGGGGCAGCATGAGTGATGGGCCTGTTTTCCACCACCACCACCACCAGAAGTTGGAGGAGGGAGGGAGGTGGAGGATGAGGAGGAGGACGGGGAGGAGGAGGAGTAGGAGGAGGAGGAGGAGGAGAAGGACCCCCTCCCACTCCTGCTTTCTGGTGGCGGCAGTGGAACACAAGCCCACCAAGGAGGAGGGCCAGCTTTCGCCCGGCAGGGTCTGCCCTGTTCGCCCCGGCCGCGAGCGCGGGGCACACGCGCACCGCTCCTGGGCCAGCGTCGACGCCTCCCTTTGTGGCCGAGCCACGAGGTCGCACGCGCCGATCCTGGCCCCAGGACGTGAGGGTGCGAGGGCGTGGTGATCTGCGGGGCTGCGAGAGGGCGCGTGCGAGCATGCGAGAAGGCGGGTTCAAGAATACGAAGAAAGCGCGTGCGAGAAATGCGAGGAGTCCCGCGGCAGCCCGCACAGGGCGCGCGCCGCTGCGCGCGCCGCTCCGGTTCCAGGTCTAGTTCCTGGTCCCAGGATGAGCCCGGCGAGGGCCAGCGCATGTGCGCAGAGCTCTTCTTGATCTGCACACCTCCCGCCAGCCTCGGGCCGCTAGTCAGACCGCTTGGCTGCCGTCCTTCGGTGCCAGCGTGCCCTCGGTGCTCGGAGCCCCTCGCACCCCCTCGGTGCATCCGCGGACGATGACACGGCAGCAGTTCGCCTCTGGTGTTTGGCTGCAGGGCGGGGGTTGGAGGTTACCCCCGCAGGTTCGCAAGGGAGCTGGAGCGGCACCGCCAGCTTCAGCTCAGCAAGCGTAATTAATTGGAGTGGAAAGCACCCGTTCACAAATGGGCCCTTTTTATCGCTTAGCCGCTCCTAGCCTAGGTCGGCGACGGCCCGCGTTGGCGAAATTCGACTGCGAGGTCTCCGAGGCGTGCCTTCTGGTCATTCGTTTGCGCTACCTGATTCCACTTGGTTCTCCTCCAGAACTTCCCCATCTTCTTCTCCCCAGTGTCTTACCTGGTTGTTCTCACAGTTACGATGTATATTCGTATCTACCAAGAAGCCATGGCTTGCCCTACCTGGTCTCTGCCATGCCTGGACGAGTGTCCGCAGCGGTGGTTCGTTCGTTCGTTTGCTCTCCTCTCTTCTCCCTCTCCATTCCTGCTGCTCCCTCCACTTGAAAGGTGGTTTCCTCTTGCACTCCTCGCCGGCGGTTCCCGGGGCTTGGTGAATGTTTGGCTCGACGGGGGCTCCTGCTGCCGGCGCCGATTTCTGATTTCTGCTGCCGGCGTCGACTTGGTACCGTGATGGGTGGGTGCACGAGCTGACCTCCTACAATGTTTGTGCGCAGCCGTCGGGTTCGTGAACACGGCACGCTCTGATGCATCGGGGCCAACATTTCAGAGACCCGCTCCCGCTCAATGCGGGCTGGAATTTTCGGGACCCTCACTTCTTCGGTGAGGCTACAAAATAGTTTATGAAGAAGGCTGGTCCCAGGTATAGAGCCTCTGATGTCGGTCTGAATCTGCACACGCGTTCGAGACTGGAGGCGCTAGCCGACATGTCCTTGGGGAGGTTCTGGCTGGTGTTTTGGAGAAGCGCGCCGAGTGTTGGCACTAGCGAAATGAGGACGGAACGGATGGGGGCGGAGACCAGTCGCAGTTTGTTTGTTCTTTTCTTTTTCTGCGCAGGCAAAACGCAATTTTGAACACGGCTCGTTGCAGCTGTACTGTGTCAATATTGGACCACATTCGCCGTTGGGTACCTTCCCCGTGGTTCGATGATTGCTCATAGGCGTCGTCGCTGGCATGGCATCCTGCGCATGCAGCCTGGATATTGTGTGGATAATCGAGGTACCGATTCCGACTGAGCAGGGTTCTTTGAGTTACAGCTTACAGTCTGCGGCGATGCCATGATGACCCCTGAACCTCGTGGACCGACAGTTGTTTCTCACCGGTTGCCCTTAATGTGTTGACCAGCTTGCGAGCGAGCGAGATGAGTGAGAGGTAGAGGGATACAGAAAAAGGGGGATAGAGAGATATAGCGATATGGCAGATTGTATATGGTATCCAGGTATCCACATACAAGCGGGCGCACACACACACACACACTCACGCGCGCGCACCTACTCAGAAACAAAGAGAGAGAGAGAGATACACGGAGACATATTGAAGATGTGATATGTTGCCAAGTCCGCTCATGACACCCTGAAGTTGCACGTGAACGTGCGACGTGTAAAACGCGTCCCTTTCTTAAACCATACTCCTCATCCATTTGCTCCTGCTGTCCCTCCTCCTCCCCAGGAGAGGCCATAATTCCCTGTTGCGCTCTCTCTGCAGGCTTCGTGGTGCAGCCCCTGGCGGACCCTCCTGCCGGCTCGGGAGAGGCTCGGAACAGAGTGAGCGGGGCGGGGGGGGCAGGAGGAGGAGGAGGAGGAGGGGCAGGAAGACGAGGGCGAGGAGCGGAGGTTGTTGGAAAGCAGCGCGGCTCTGTCACCTGGAGTTGGCCGCGTCCATCTCCTCCTCTTCTCTTCCTCCTCCCCCACCTCCTCTTCCTCCTCCTCCTCCTTCTCCTCCTCCTCCTCCCCCTCCTCCTCTTTTCTGCGTCGCGCCATGGAGGCAGAGGGCTGATCTCTCAGAGGATCAGGTGCGACATCGGCCCCCGCGGCGGGGGAGGAGGAAGAGGAGCGCACCTCGTGATTTCGGATTGCCCTTGTGAGCGAACTGTTCAGCCTCTCGCGTGGGCCACTGTGCATTGCATGTCCGCTCCACTCTGCATCGGATGCGACAGATAAGTGGGGTGAGGAACAGGAGCAGTTCAAGCAGGAGGAGGAAGTTGAAGATAATTTCCTACATCCACGGGACAGCTGCCGCATACTTCTAGCAGGCTGGCGAGACCTCCAGGGGTGATTGTGATGCATCCGCCGATATGACAGAGGACGGGTGGATGTGAGAGGAAGTTGAGGGTCCAAGGCGAGGACGAGGAGGGGGGTGGAGGAAGGGAAGGGAGATTTGAAACAGGTAGGGGAAGAAGGAGTGGAGGAGGAGGAGGAGGAGGAGGAGGACAAGTGTAAACCTAAGGCTCATCTACGATGTTGGAATAAACCCTCCCTCCACGCTCCCTCTTCACAGGCCCCTGCAAGGGTTCATTTCCATTAAGGAGACTGCCTCGTTGGGAGAAAACCGTTTGAAGACACTGCAACATGCCAAAACACAATTCTCGGGACTCCAACGCCACGGATCAACCTGACTGTTGCGTCTTGACTTTGAATCTTGCCAGAATACCATTCCTAGGACTTCGGCACCACAAATCAACGTAGTTGGTGCACCCTCACAATCCTGAATCCTTCCAACACGCCCGCTCTGGTACGCTGACCATGGACATCCGTGAAGCTCTTGCAAATGTTTACAGTGAATGTTCTCGGCGCGCAGGCGAGAGCCACATTTCGCAGACGAACCGCCCTCAATCCGTGAAGTTCTGGGTACTTCTTGAAGACGAACGTGCGCGGCGCTCAGGCGAGAGCCACATTTTGAGAACGAACCGCCCTCAATGTGTGAAAGTTTTGCAAATGTTCAAGACGAATGCGCGCAGCGCTAAAGGCGAGACGCCCACATTTTGAGAACCAGCCGCCCTCAATCCGTGAAGCCTTTGCGAATCTTTACAATCATGTGCGCGCCGCGATAGGCGAGAGCCACAGTTTGAAAGCCGCTCGCCCTCCATTTGTGAAGCTGTTGCCATGTCTTAGGCCTCAGGGTCACTAGTGGTGAGGACGTCTCGGGCGAAGCGCCCAGCCCGCCCTTTCGACCGGCCTCGGGGTGCGACAGGGAGGCGCCATCTGTAAGGAAAAGGAGTGCAGGACGAGGAGCCGAACGCTCCAGCCATGACGCTCATGCTTGCCGGACGCAAAAAAAAGGGGGAGGAGCAGCGGGCGGCAGGTGGTGGCGGGCCTGGGGTGGCCGGAGTCCGACCCCCCCCCCGGTCGGGTGTTGCTAAAGGTGCCCCCGTCCCAAGGTGCCCCCAAGATTCCCAAGGAGGCCCCCACGGCCTCCAGAGCACCCTTCACGAGGCCCAGAGGGCCCCAGGGGCACCAAAAGCGAGCGAAAAGCTGGGGGCACCTTTGACCGGGGGGCACCTCCCCCAACCCCCGACGTGTCATGATTTGTTCATTGCGTCGACACCCCGAGGTCGCGACCTACTCTCCGGGACCAGTTTGTCCTCCCGAGTAGTTCGTCGACGGCCCCGAGGCCCGGGAAGGGCCCCCAGAGGCCGAGAATGGCGAGCACCCTCCCGTCAGGATTGCTTCGCTGCTCGAGGGGGCGGAGGAGGAGGAGGAGGAGGAGGAGGAGGAAGAGGAGGAGGAGGAGGAGGAGGAGGAGGAGGAGGAAGTCGAGAACACGGCCCTGGACCCCCGCCCCGACGGCGACGGCACAGCGGCGTGACCGCCGCTGCGTTGGCTCAAGGCCACATGCAGGACGCGTGCGCGGGGCGCATGCGTGGGCCCGAGGGCCCTGGAGCATTGCGTGGTGCACCGATGGCACTACGAGCGGGGAAAAGAGGCCCCGCGACTTGGTAGCGGAGCCCTGGTCCACTTCGGGCTAGGGCTCATCGCTGCCACTGCGCGGCAGCCGGAGGAGTCCGGCTTCAAACGGGTCATCGAGGTGACCCACGGCGCGGAGGAGGCTTTCATCGAGGTGAAGTCCAGCCCCTCCGCAGACTACGACATCCGCTACGACGGCTTCGGCACTGGACAGCTTCGGTGCGAAGAAGCATTCTATATCACTGGAGTGAGCTTGCTCACAGATCACGTACATCCGAGAGTTTGGGAGATGGAGCATCTTCATCTCGAGGTATGGGCAGCCTCAAGGTCCCGCCGGCTTGAAGCCCAGAGCAAGACAGGCAGTACCCCTTTCGATTCTGGCTGACAGATGTGACGATGTGGGCTGCAGCGGCGGCGAGAGAGGTCATGCCCGAGCAACAAGGACCAGCAGTCGCACTACGACTCGGAGGCGCAGCAAGGAGCTTAGCGAGGGAGATTCCACCGGAACAGCTGCGAGACGGAGCCATCGCTGACCCAGGTGATGGAGCAGGAACGCGACAACTCACAGGACTGCAACCACTGCTGCTCGTTCTTTCCAGGTCATTCGCCCCGTTCGGTGACGAGAACGAGAGCAGGGCGACCTCTGACTTGTTGGGCTTCTACCGCAAGAGCTACGAGAACATAGATCAGACGCTCAGCAGGTTCGAGGTCACGCGACGACGAGCAGCGGCTCTGGGAGGATTTCAAATGGGACCACAGGGCTACGCTTGGATGCTGATGACGGCCCTGGGCTGTAGCCCTGCGGAGTGGAACGAATTGCTGATCCACTTCAGAGGCCACCTGCCGAGGACGGAGCAGCAGTTTGCGGAGCTGGTAGAATATATTCGACGGTACGGACACGTCCTGGAGAAGGGGCCGATGTCGGTGAATCGAGGCAGCAAGGGCAAGGGCCACAGCCAGTTCTTCTTCCCAACGTTCAACTTCGGCGGTGGCGATGGACATCAAGATGATTCTGCAGACGGCTACACTGGCGGAGGCATGGCAGCATCGTGGGCCCCCTCGTCTCCCTGGGCGCCTGCTGCTGCAGCGCCGCCGGCGCCAGATCCGTGGCAGGCCTACTACGGCAACGAATACGAGGACAACGACACGGACACCGACGACGACGACGGAGAGGACTTGGACGGCTCGGATTTCCCTGGGCAGATCGGCCAAGATGACGCGGTCATCCAACAGTACCTCTACCAGAATTACGTTTTTCACCAGAAGCGCTGGCGACGGTTTACAGGCAGACCTACGAGATTCCACAGGTTCGGAAAAAGGCAAAAGTGGTAAGGGATCTCTGATCCCGTTTCGTGGAGGTGGAGCCTTTGGTCAACGCGGACAAGGCAAAGGCTACCACTTCGAAGGAAAAGGGCGACGAAATCCTACTGGACGTGACGGCAAGGTCATGAAGTGCCTCACGAAGGGTTGCGAGAGCGAGTTTCACCTGATTAAAGACTGCCCCCGCCGACAAGGAAAAGGGCAAGGAAAAGGCAATTCCGTCACGAATGGACCTCGACCGGCATCAGCAGCCTCGGCAGCGGCGCCATGGTTCGGATTCAACAACACGTCAGCTACAGCGACGGCAGCGACTACAGGCAGCTCGGCCCACGGTTCTGGATCGGTGAGCTTCTTTGCCACAGAGACACCCAAGAACGACAGCGAGCAGAAGATGAGCGCAAGTGTGGAGGGCTCGCACGGTTTCGCTGGCGTGGTGATATCGCCAGCGCAGCCAAAGGCCATCGAGGACAAGGCCCCTGAGTGGTTTGGACCGAGACCGATGGTGGAAAGCATGGAGCCCCCAACCACAGGGTCGGCGTTGCCCCCGGGCGAAGGGCCCTACTTCCCGATGCTGCCGACCGTGGGAACCACCAAGTTCGGGGAGATCACGGACGTGCCATCGAGACCGACGTTTGGAATCGGACATATCTTGGGACTTTCATCGAGGGTGGCCCCGAAGGACGAGGATGGAGATAGAGTAACGGAGCCACATACCGCTGGAGTTCCTCTCCCGAAGGCAGCGATGGAAACACCAGCGAAGACACATCCGATGGTATCGGAGATACTCGGCATCAAGAAGGCAGAAGAGAAGCAGGACCCCTCCTCGATCAACGTAGGCGGCTTGACTATCAGCCCCGTTCCAGCGAAGATGGTGACCCCCCCGAGCGCGAGCAGCGGAGTTCGGGACTTGGCGGCGAGCTGGGACAAGGTGTCGAGCGTGCCCGAGCAACAGGTGGATCTGTCATCCTTCGACCTCGACTCCGAGAGCTACTTCCAGCCCGGACATCCTCATGAACGTGAACGCCCAGAACTACTGAGAGGAGCGGACGAGGTCGCCATTCCAGATGATGACGAACACACCGAGCATGACGGGCAACACGAAGAATTTAGAGAGGACAACGACGGCCAGCAGATCCCGCCGGACAATCACACAGGCGGAGTGGATTTTAGCGATGATCGTGGAGACTTCACTGGAGTTGTCTGGACCTTGGGGGGGAACCGTGAGGAAACCCACCTGGGACACGAGCGCACCCGGCTTGACGGCGGCGAGATGGGCATCCTCGTGGACCCGGGAGCGCACGGCAACCTCGTCGGAGAACGCTGGGCACGACAACAAGCGGAGAAAGCCAAGCAGTACCAGCACGACACGGAGAAGACTGAATTGCGAGAGCCCCTGGAGGTTAATGGAGTTGGAAAAGGACCCGACTACTGCCACCAGCAGTGGAAGATCCCTATCGGTACGCAGGAGATCTACCAGGAGGGCGATGGCAGCGGCAACCTGGACACTTACACGACACCCATCATTCCTG